TCTGGCCATCTCCATATTCTTTGTTTTCTGTCATAGCTTTGCTGTGGATCTCTTTCACAACCTCCAGTTCTCCCTACAAGAAGTGATTTCACTTTGAATACAAGGAAAAAAGAAGAATAGCAAAAGGTTTGATGAGCAAGATAGAAGTTTTAGTTAAGAGGAAACCTGAAAACACTGGTGAATGATGCTTCGGCCTTTTTTTGAACTTTTAAGATCTCCATGCAACGTGTTAAGAAGCCATGACATGAACTCAACAGGGTCAGACTGTGCACCTATTCGAAAACGTTTCTTACTAGCTTTCATAACTGCCTGAAGAAACTCGTGCGGGCTCACCTGCAATTATGCAGTGTTTATGAGAAAGTCAAGATAGTTGACAAAAAGATATGACTTACATGTGAATACAGTTTCAAACCTGTCCTTTAAAGTTTCTTGCATGCCATATCTTTCGTGTGAGCTCTCCAAATCGATGAACAAGTGGGGATTTGCAGTCTTGATAATTTTCAGGGATAAGAAAGAAGTTCCTTAAGGGAGTAACTCGCATCAAAGATTGAATAGTGACATTAACAAAGTCGGTCTCCTTGATATTATTCAGCCCCACCTAAAAGATTTTCCAATTCCAAATAACTAGCATTAGGGTAGAAAATAGAAATATATAAGATTGATATAGCAATAACAGTAACTATAATTAGAAAAAATAATAATAACAAGCACAAAGAAGTTAAATAAAATACCATTCCAGGAAGATAATCTGACCCATCAAGTGCCCTGGACCATTGTCGATTCTTATCAAGCTGCTCAACTTGTTCCCTAGTAAACCTGTAAAAAAATAATAATTAAAAAAATAGAAAAAAAAAAAGGGATTACATAACCATCGAAGTATGACATGATATGGTAAGGCAAAAAAGAGAAAAGAAAGGAAAAGATTGCATAAAGCAGAAGGAAATAACAAATTGTAGTACCAGAATTCCTGGAAAAAGTTTTAACTTTATAACTTACATGATTTCACTTCATTAGAAAAGGATAAAAATTTAACAAACATACAGTTAAGCTGCTTAAAAAGATAGTATCCGATTCTTCCAGTCTCTATAGACTGAATGGACCACGAAACAAGAAAACAGAACTACAAATTGTAAAAAATTAAATAAATCATGCAGCAACGTGCCTTGGGTTGAGTACATATCGAATATCATCCAGTGATGGGTCAATAACTTCATATCCATCGGGAAGGCAGTAAACTTTCTCTGTTCGAAGATTGATGTAGACATGGTGCCCTGCTTCAAGACTATGAGTATATGCATGAGATTTTTGCCCCCTTCCTTGGTAATACTTCCCACAAACCAAACACGCATACACATTCAAGTTTGAAAGGGATACCGAACAAAATTTTTCAAAGTCAAAATCCAGGACCTGCAAAAATTAAAAGATAAAGAATCACCGCTTCAGCCTACAAAACTACTCACTGATAATAAGTAAGAGCACAAACAGATGATCTTGAAGAAGAGTACAACTCCAGGCCCGTGAAAGGCTTCCCTAATCCTCAGATACCTAAATTTTCATTCCTCAAACAGCAACACTCATAAACATACAATATAATATATAAAAACAGCACATACAGTTTACTACCAAAATAAACGGATGTGTAAAAACAAGTTACATATATGGATAAGAAGAAAAAAGGGATTAGCATATTTTAATGGTGAAAGTGAAATAAGACTACCAAGGAAATTAATTATGTAACATGCTGGTAACGTAAGAACACGAGTTCAGTGATTCATAGAGGTAAGAGATATATTGATTTTAGTACCTGTCTATTAACCGTATCAAGATACGGACAGTCCCTTCTTACTTCCACCATGCGATTACGCAGTCCTTGGCTTCCTATTGCACTTTGATCCTCATCATCATCACTGTCTTCCTCATCATATGCATATCCATTTTGCCCTACTCTCCCACTATTACTTATGACCCTATCCCTGCCCCCAGCTCGTCTGTCAACAATATCATCTTCATCATCGTCATCATATGAAGCAAGCGGAAGGAGTGGGTTGTCAAATGCAAGCTGAGGCGAGGACTGCTCGTCCAGCTTCTGCCTCTTAACTCCCTCTTCCTCAGGAACAGTGTTCTCCCACTCTTCTCTTTTTGTTTTCATTTTTACAGTGGAAAATCTTTTCTCCAATTCACAGCCTACACAACTGAACCAAATTTCCATAAATCACTTTATTCAACTAGATGAAATCACTTTACTTAAGATAAACTACATGTAAGAGATAAAATGAATGATACTAAATTTTGATTAATTAATTCATTAATACAACATCAAAATACGACAACAAATAGATGCAAAATGAAACATGAAAGAAACACAATAAGAAAAAACAACCCATATTAAAGAAGAACATTCAAAAATTACTAAAGCAG